GGTAAACAGAAACAATCTATAACAATAAAAGGGCCAACTCATCTAGAAGACTAAATAGTTTTAAATGATTATGTATCTGTTAACCTAAAAATAAAAGGCTTTTCAAAGTGAGAGGCAACTCTATTTATTTGAGGTCAAAAAGAAGATCTATTCAGGAAGCATTGATTCAGGCAGAAGCCTAATATCCTGATTGGGGAGCAAAGAGAAGGGGTACTTATGAGAAATAGCAGGGGAACAATCATCAATAGATAGAAGCATTTCTATAAATGCAGATAACATAGTAAACTGAGCCTGCCTCAGGCTATTGCAGTCTATCAGACCAGTTCCTAGTGGGTGGTGGGGTGTAGTGATAACACCTATGAAGTCCAAGGGCAGTCAGGAGTTCACTACCACATTGCTTTTGTTGCAAAATAAATTCTATGTTAGAAAATGAAATTGTATGGGTTATAATGGGTCTGGTCAAATGAAGAATAACAGTACAATTGCCCTTTTCCCAGTCAAAGCTAAAGAGTCATATTGGCCCTAAAGACGGCACTGCTTGTCTCAAAAACCTCATCAGTCTCTAGAATCTGACCTGCCTCATCCTAGGGCTGAAATCCCACCCCAGGGCCCAAAACAGCACAGCAGTTACCTCTTCCAAGGATTCATCTCTCACCACATCTCCCAAGTCCTCGGAGCTTTATCAAAACAACTAAACAGTGAAGTGAACTCCTCCTTGACAAGCAAAGATCAACAGAGGCAAGGAGAAAGCTGGAAGTTAGGGTGTGGTTTTGGAACCTCTGCTAGAGATGGGTAGGAGGTGCAGAGGAATGCCATAGGATTCTTCCCACCAGTAGCACCTGAACTCCAGCCACAAAGGCCTATTATACTTGGACACAGCAGCCCTATACAAACCATGAGTCACAATGCTTATGTTGGTACCTGTTCAGAGCATGTGAGTTCTACAAGCAACATTTCTCTTCTTTACCATTGATGCTGAGAAGAACAGCAGAAAGATGCAGAAAAGTCCATGGATCAGATATGACCTTTTTTCTCCCCTGTGGTCTCTTCTGGGACTGTTGCTGTGGGCATGTTGTGAATAACCCGGACTGGGGAGGCTTTCCTGTCGCAGCTCCACGTGCTAGTTAATTACAACCTCTTCTTCTGTTCTGGGATTGCTCATAGGTCATCCCAAACTTTAGGGTTTCAGAATCTTGGCTTAGATACCCCCTAATTATCTGATAATATCTTAGAATGTGGCAGAAAGAATTAATACAAGAAGATAGATACATATTTCTAAAAACAGGACAATAAGTTATGTCTGAGCCTAAGAAGAGATGACTCCTTTCCCCGCCTCCCCCGAGGGGTTTAAGAATAATAATGTGTATGGGGAGCAGGGCACCTAGGTCAAATCACTGGTTAGGTATGACTTCTTCCAGATTTTTCTGTTTTTGTGTCTTGCTGTGTGCCCTGAATTTTAGAACCACTGCTCTAAAAGAGTTCTGAAAAATTTTGCCTCCAAGACCTACCTTCACATAAAATTCAACATGGTTAAAACCTAACTCATTTTCTTTCCTGTTTCTGTCATGAGTTTTCTTTTGTATCTGTGGCACTGAGTCTTAGAGAAATGCTTGATATTTTCTCTCCCTTTTCTTCTTCTTGTCCTTCACTGGGACAGTTATACCCTGTGCCTTTTCATAGTCCCTCCATTCTCCAGCTCCCACTGTCGCCACCACATCCAGGTCTTCCTCTAGTTTCCTGTGAGGTCTGTGTGCCTGGACTCCTACCCTCTCCCTAATTAAGAGCTATTGAGGGCTTTCTCACCCTAAAGTTCAATATAGAGATTCAATAGACATCCTAATCTATATAAAACACAAATGAACAAGCAGATTACTGTTCCAAACCCCTGAGGTTGACTTAGGGTATTTTAATAATTTCAAGCAACTACTTGAGATTAGGCATCATAATAAATGCTGGAGGAAGAGCAATGAACAGGGCATTAATTAATTCCCCTTTCAAAAAAACACACATTCTGGTAGGGGAACATACATACATTTATAATACTGTGGAGTACATACCACAATAGATACATAGGCCACTATCAGAACACACAACTGGAACATGTAATGTTGACCAGGGAGGCCAGGGAAGTCATCCCAGAGATAGGATCCAACAGCTAGATCATGGAGGATGAGTAGGAGTTGCCCAGGCAAAAGTGTGTGAACTTGTGCATGGATTGCGTGGGGGATGGGGTACAGAAGAGTGCATCAGGCAGAAGGAACAACATATGCAAGGTCCTGAAAACAAGCAAAACATGGTTTCTTGAAAGAGTTTAATTTGGCCAGAACACAGAATGCAAGGCATGGGATATAAAGAGATGAGGCTGGAGGCATAATGGTAAAGACTTGTAAGGGCAGTGATCAGCATGGGGAAGGTGCAACCAGGTTTGCATCTTAAGAATACCACTTTTGCTGCTGAGCACTCTGAAGGGAGAAAAAAATGGAGGCAGGAAGGCCAGTTGGGCAGGTGATATGATAGGTGATCCTACTATAAAAGATGGTGATGATGACCTGATCATAGCAGTGGAGATAGAGATGGGGGAAAGTGCATAAATTTCAGGGATGCTTAAGTAGTAGAACAGTGAAGACTAAATGGTTTGGGTGTGGTAAGTGAAGGAGAGCAAGTTAAATGGGTGTTAGTCAATCCTTAGAAACAAAGTTGGCAACCCCACCACCACACACCTAGTGTACAGGGGGAAATAATGAGTTCAGTGTCAGTCAAGTTTCACTTGGCATTCTCCACCAGGGCATACCCACCTGGAGATGACTTGGCAGTTCTATGTTGGCCTGGATGAACCTCAGGAGAGAAACCTCCACCAGAAATGTAACTTTGGGATTCCTTAAAGTACATGGGATGAGGAAGCCATAAGTCAAAAAGACAAAGGAGTGTGTGCAAAGTAAGGAAATAAAGCCAAACTAAAACCCAGAGAACAAAAATGTTTAGAAGAGGATCTCACAAAAAACTGAGAAGTGGCAAAGAAGTAGGAGAAAAATCTAAGAGAATATAGTGTTACCAAAGTAGTTCAACGATGTTCCATGTGTCATCGATGAATCCAGGCCTGGTTTTTAAAATACAATTTTTATTTTTTAATCTTGTTGTGATTAGTACCAGGCAATAGTTCTTAAACTTTTTGGTTATACAAGTTATTGTACACTCTTACAAATTATTGAGGACTCAAAAAAGCTGAATATGTGGCTACAGCTATTAATATTTACTAGGAAATTAAAATTGAGTTAAATTTAAATATATGTATTGATTCATTTTAAAAATATCCCTATTATTAGTTAATTTATGTGTTTAGGAAAATTATTTCAAAACAAAAAATTAGTGAGAAGAGTAGCATTATTTTATATTTTTGCAAATCACATGAAGGGTTAATAAAAGTCTCATATCTGGATCTGCCTTCAATTTGTCTTGCTGTCATGATTTGTGGAGAATTCCACTGTAACAGCAGAGAACAAGAGTGAAAAAAGTAAACAGCAATTTGAATAATTATAAAAATAGTTTGTTCATGGAGACACCATGAAAGGGAGTTCTACAAATCTAGTGACTACACTTTTAGAATTATTGCCCTAGAGTGGAACAACAAGGCGATACCGTGAACCTCATGAGTATGCTCTTGATACTGTAGCCTGGATAGACTTCATTGACATTTCAAGAGCTATTTTATGAGAGGTTGAGGTTGTCTGGTGGACATGACCTTCCAAATTTAGGAACAGACTGCAGAACATTTATTCAGTTAATTCCCTCACAAATATTTATTCAGCACATATTATATGCCAGGAACTACTTCAGACACAGAGGCCATGACAAACAAAACGGACAAAATTCCTTGATTTCATGAAGCTTCCCTTCTCTTTGGGGAACATTAAACAATGAACAAATAAAGTAGTAAAATATCTAGTATATTGGAGGGTGGTGAGTGCTACGCAGGAAAATAATGTGAAGAGGACTTGCAGATTTCAGTAGTATGGACAGGGAAATCCTCATTAAGAAGGCAACGTTTGAGCAAAGACCTGGAGGAGGTGAAGGAGCCATTTGGACTTCTGGTGAAAGAACTTTCTCAGGTATTGAAAAAATTAATTCCTTAATGTATTTTAATTCTTATTAATATGTATTCTTTCATCAAATATCTATTGTGTCTGCGAGTATAAGAAGATAAAAACCAAGAACAAGTTTTTTATTTAGTGTCTGTCATGTTGCCAGGCATTTTGCTAGGTATTATGTATGAGGTTTGGTACCTTCAGAAGATTTACAACCTAGTGAAGGAGACAAAGCATATACATACAATTCCTGCAGTTGTGGTGTAGTGGTTCTTAGAAGGAGTAATCGTTGTTTGGAAGTTGCACTACCAGAGGTTTGCATGCATCTGATCTATCTGAAGTTTACATTTCCCTTTCGAGATGAACTTAAGTATGACGGGTACTCTTCAATCTAACAGGATATAAACCACGAAGAGAATAATATCCAATCATATCCTCTATGGAGCGCTTAAGTTTACAAAGTGCTTTCAACGACTTAACTTATTTAATCTTCATAACAATTCTGAGAAGCCGGTATTATTATAAGAGGTACTATTATTGCGTTGACTGCGAGTGAGGAAACAAACTCAGAAGACTAGGTAATATAAAGCTGTTATACGGTGGATTTGGGACCTAAATTTAAAATAATCTGCCTTTAACCACAAAGCTTTTCCTACTGCAACTTTTCCTATTGCAACTGTTAGGAGCAGGTGCTGAAATTTTAAATAGAGCGTTATATTCTCCCAACTCAGCGCTTTCCCAAGTGCACCACAGAGGCGGGGTTAGATTAGAGCTGGGAAGGAGTAAGAGCCAGGGGGTGAAGTCTCACCCACGGTGCCCCCGCCTTCCCCCATGCCCCCCAATCTGCGCTTGCTCAGGAGAGGAAAGACGCCTGGGTACTACGTTTGCGCAGACGCAGAACTACCTCAAGGCGGAAATAGGGCTCCTGCCATCCACCCAAAAACAAGGTGGCGGCGGTGGAGGAGCAGTGCGCATGCACGGGCAGCTCTTCTAGGTGAGGGTTTGAAAGCGAGACCGTGGAGGCTGCGCCCGGGACGGACAAGGGTCAGGATGGACGAGGACGTACTGACCACCCTGAAGATCCTCATCATTGGCGAGAGCGGCGTGGGCAAGTCTAGGTGAGGGGGTCTGCGGGCCGCGACAGGGGCGGTGGGGCCTTTTCCGCCTCCGTGGCCGCTGTGTGTTGTGCCGCGACAAGAAAGGTAACCGGCGGCGGCCGGGCGCGGGCCGGGGCGGGGCAGACTTCGCTCGCGCCCGTGGAGCCTCAGGGCCGCCGAGGCCTTGAGGTCTTTGTGCCCCGCGCTTGCCCGGTTCGGGGCCTCTGCCAGGCCCGAGTTCTCTGGGTCGCTTTGCCTCCTGTCGTACCAAGAAACAAATAGGGGAACCGCTTCTTGTCTGGCCGGTTTGCTGCCGAGGAGCACAGGGCGTGGCGGGCTGGTTTAGGCCGGAGTCTGGCCCAGCTGAGGCCTCGTCTAGGCCCCTGGGTTTCAGGCTGCCTGTCACCGCGCGAGCTAAGAGTTGTGACTTTATCAGTTAGGCATTTCTGGGGGCTTTATCTAAATACGTGATGTTCTTCGCAGGAAGTTTCGTGACGCCTTAGGTCACATTCCTGGCCTGTTTTGGTGCACCCCATTGCAGCTTCTCTTCTGTTTTCTGAGTCAGCTGTGAAAGAACTCACTGGCCAATTGCCTTTGGGTTGAGGTGATAGAGTTTAAGCTGTGGACCATCTTTGAAAATAAAGGGTAATTGTTAGTTTTCATTTTGTCACATCATATAGAGGTAGAAGAAGAAATTAGTGCTGTGCTTTTTTTTCTTGACACTTTCTTGGGCAAATAACATTGACAGTTGTTGACGTGGTGGTGGGAAGGTGTTGCAAGAGGGTAGTGATTTCATCTAGGTCTTAGAACAAGTTCTCTGGGTGGACTTGTCCTTGCCAGCTGATTATGAGTAGGGTGCCTTGTACTTTAAACAGTTTTTGAGTTCCAGGAGCTGTAAATAGTTTTACACTTTAGCTGCACCTCCTGATAAACATGTTTTTCAAATCTCATTTAAAGTCTTAGTTTTTTAGATACAAAAAGACTTGAAATCTTATTTTGTAATGCATTCTGAAATTGTATATATTTTTAAAATATGACAACACATTTCGTAGTTTTTCCTCATTTAATGTGTACATAGGAGCAAGGGATTTCTACACAAGGAATAAATTAGTGAAACAATATGGGCTAGCCAGATACTGTGATTTTTCTGAATAAAAGAATTTTTATAGTCATCATCTGTTTGAAGGTTAAAAAGTTAGTAAATATATTGAACATTTTCTTAATAGGAACTCCATAGCATTGTGACCTTTCTTTTTTTCTTGAGGTGTGACTCTCGTTTAAGTTAAGGCCTCTGAAATTGCTGATTTTCAAGTCAGTAAAGGTCGAATGTCATTTCATGAGGTTCAACCCAATACATGGTTGGTTGGCATTTCTTCTAAATCTATTGGATGGATAACTAGTTAAGCTTTGTTAAAATTTTCTGGAAGGTTAACAGTGTTTACACAATTGTGGTTCTTTCTCTAGAGAAAAAAGTATTGAGAATAATTACTGGTTTTGTTAGTTCTTATTTTTGCATACAAAAACTTACTTGGATCTAATCTCCAAAATTTTTCTTAGAATTTCATGGTGAGTTATGAACTGCTTACTGCAGAAATTTAACACTTTTGACTATCTCTTTAATGGAAAAAATTGCATTTAGGGAGAAAGTTGTCTTATTTTTCTAGCTAAATATACATATTATGTATGTAATATGTTATGGAAAACAACACCTTTCTGGATGAGAATAAATGACTCTACTAAAGAAATAGAAGCCTATGCTTTTTAAGGTGAGTTAGTTCAAAAACATATGTCATGGACATGATCGTAAAGGGTTGTTCTAACCAATAATTCATTTTTATTTCTTTAAGACCTAGAGTTAGTGGAACTGAGATACCACTGTTGTTGAGAAATCATTGCACAACAAAGGATGTCTTAACTCACTGTAATTAGTGGGTTATTTTTCCAGTTTATTTCGGACTCTTAGAGTGTAGTGAGCATATATGTTAGCAGTCAGGAGATCAGGAGTATGAAACTAGTGCTCCTAGTTGATGTGATCTTGTATCTGACATTTGAACACTCTAGACTTTCATTTCTTTATTTGGAAAATAAGGTTGGAATTGAAATCTCTCAAACCCTATTTCATCTTAAATATATAAGAGTCTTTGATTCTATGGCTAGCCAGACAGAAATAAAGAAGTTGCAAAGTGTTTTAGAAACTGGAAGTGATTCTAGGGATCTTCTTTTATCTAAGCTGCTGTCCCCACTGTGTCCCTTGTATCTCCATCCTTTCTGGCTAATTTTATTTGTTTAAGAGGTGCAAATTAGCTATAAATCACACTGTTTATGATAAATTTGGTCTCCTCTTAGTGGAATGGTGGTAGTTACTTCTTCCATCTTTAGCTCTGCATGGAGAGTATTTTCCTCCTTTATCTTTAGAACTATGAAAGCTTAAACATATGTCCATTAGAGCAGTGCTTCTTAATCATTTTCAGGTTGTGGGTTCCTTTCAAAATCTAATAGAGAAATGGACTCTATGCCTAGAAGAATGCATGCATGCATAGGTTTTTGGATGCATTTTGAGCTGCCCGTGTATCCCTGGCTAAAAGTGGCTGACTTATACCCAAAGCCTGTATTAAAATTTGTTGCTTTGCACCACACCAATTCCCTGCCTTTCCTGACAAAGTGTCGCTGATGACAATAGTAGTTGTAAGCATTAGCAATTCTGTAAGAAAAACCCCTGCCCCAGTGTCTGGCACATTATCCATGTTCAATAAACAATAGCCAACACTATTGTTACTATTTATATTATTTAACTTGTTACTATTACTACTACTATGACTGCTTTATAAGGTTATGCTAACCTATATTTTTGTAATATTTTCTGTAGTGACCAAGCATGGATACATACTTTTTCTATTCTTAAATTGTGATGACTGAAATTTTTTGTAAAATTTTCACTTCTTTAATTTAAAATTTAATGTTGCAGAGGGAAAAATTTTTTGCGAGAGTCTTTTAAAATTCTTAATTACTGCTCTCACCTAGCTCATATTGAAAGTAAGTAAAAATATTACAGTCAAGCAGGTTCAATGTTAAGCAGAAAAATCTACAAATTGACTCTTCTGTTTGACTTTGTGGTGCTGGTTTTATGGTAGACACAAGAAGGCAAAACCAGGAAAGGAACTGTTAATCCTTCAAATACAGTCAATGATACTGGGTTTGGAAATTCTCAGGAAGCCAATATATTTTGCAGTATGCTCTGTGGCCCTCCGACCCCCCACCCCAAATCTCTAACATCAATAATGACAACCTATAGAAATATTTATCCACAACTCAGACATCTGATATTTATTGCCTTAATTTTATTAATGCAAACAGGTCAATAGAACAGTTTTATCCTACTTCAGGAGATAATGTGAGGGAAGATTGATTAATTGATTGGGGCTTTAGCAAAAGCTTAGATTTTATTTTTGGAGAGCTTCTAATAACTGATACTTCTGCTTCATATTAAATAAAATAATCCTAGGAGATATAAAATCTTAGAATATTCTTCTACTCTGTTATCTTTTTACTTTCATGTCACCCCTCCCTTTTTAGTGTCTTTACCATTTTTTAGGTTTAATCCTTTGTTAATCTCTCAATACACCAACCCTGGCAGTTGTCTTCTGTTGATTTTCCTACTTTTTTTTTTTTTTTTTGCTAACATAACTTTTCAAAATGTAGAGCAGTTCTTGCCATTCCTTTTTAAAAAACTCTTCAGTAGCTCCCTATTGCGTACATGATTTCATACACCTTGCATATCATTTGCCAGAGTGTATGTACTTTGTACATCATGTGATCTGTCTGCCCTCACTATTTATTAGTAAATCTTTTTATCCCACATAGGGAGTACTCATACTGTGTATTACAAAGTATAGACATTCACATCTTTCTGTTTTTAGTTGAATTCACAGTGAATTACACATCAAGTATTTTTTAAGAAAATTAACTTGCTGCATTCCAAGAGACTTATTTTTCTCCCTCTGTCCATGTTAGTTAAAGCATGACATAATGTTATACCACTTTCTTGGAAGGACATACCAGTACAGTTAAAATGAATAAACAAACCTTTTCACACTTGGGGAATTTGTGTAGGGAAGCATGGGGAATATGTTTTCTAGAATACACTACTTTGCTCTTTAATTGCCTTTCAGTAATTTGATTTGTCCTTATATACCTGCACTGAAGCAATATTTGGGGAGTCATGTTCTTAGATGCATGTAATTGGTGAGAAAATATAACATCATGACCACATCAAATGATTAGTAGAAAAGTCAAATTTCTAATCTGTCTTTTTTACATCTCTTCTAGCCTGCTCTTGAGGTTCACAGATGATACTTTTGATCCAGAACTTGCAGCAACAATAGGTAAGCCTATGTTTAAAAATCCAGTAGACATGCTAAATGTTTTCTTGCCTTCAGGATGTTTTATCTACTCCCCACTCCCCATTTGTCTTTCAGAGCTTAACTTTGTTGTCATTAAATTTCTGAAGGCTTTGTAGATCTCACGAAGCAAAAATAACTTCCTAATCTATTATATCATGGCACTTTAGCAACTGTAGATATTATGATTACCTGAAACAGAGTTTCTTTTGTGTACTGTGGATTATCTTTTATTCAGCAGCATCCAATTATCTGAATATTTATTGTATACCAGGCACTGTCCTAAGAGGTGGGGTTATAATGATGAATAATACAGACTTGGTCTCTATCATCAGGGACCTAATAGTGTCGCCTTAGTAGCATATGTTAATTTTGTGTTTTTAGCATTTGCTACAGTATCTGGCATGAATTTTGCGCCCAATATATTTATCAGTATGTTATTAAACATTGTTAGGAGCAGTGATACCTAAATTCCTTTTTAAAATGAAATTTAGATCACCTGAGAATGGTTTGCCTTGCCAGCTTTTTAGAATATGTGAGAAGATAGAGCTAAATATTTTGGTATCATATGTTTAGGGAGTAGATCACAATATTAAGATATCAAGAGATAGCTTGTCAGAGTTCAGAGAGCTGAGTCAGAGCAAGATAGTAGTCTGGGCTGTGCCTTGAACTAGTTGTGATCTTGGGCAAGGCTTTTAACTTCATTGCCTTCATCTATAAATTGAGAACTTTTGCTAATAGAAAATACATTTTGTCAAGCTCTGACATTTTATGATCTGATGAGTAGAATGTAGTAAAGATGATCCTAGCACTGTTGTTGGGTAAAATGGTTTCTCTTACTCTTAACTGGCTTTGTTATTGTGGGTTTATTTTTGTTTTTAAATAATTTTATACCTAGAGAAAAGTTGTGAAAATATTTCAAAGAATTCCTCTATATCTTACTCAAATTCCCCAAGTGTTAATATTAATCACATTTGGTTTATCCTCTCTCTGCATTCAAACAGTGGTCTTGTGTTTTTCCCAATTGTTTGAGAGAAAATTGCAGATCTAATGACTTTAACTTCTAAATACTTTATTGTGTATTTCCTAAGTTAACATGGATAAAATTCCACTGTATACAGTCAGATTTTATCAGTTTTCTTAGTATTGTCTTATGTAGTAAAAGTAAAAGAATTGTTTCTGGTCCAGGATTCAATGCAAGATCATACATTGAATTTAGTTGTCATTTCTCTTTAATCTCTTTTAATCCAAACAGTCTTCAGTCTTTCTTTGTGTTTCATGGTCTTGACATTTTTTAAAAATAATTTTTTATTTTTCAATTACAGTTGGTATACAATAATTTATTCATTTCAGGTGTACAGCCCAGTAATTAGACATTTATATAGATCATGAAGCAATGACCCCATTAAACCTAGTGCTCACCTGACATCATACATAGTTAAGACAATATTATTGACTATATTCCCTATGCTGTACTTTATATCCCAGTTACTATTCCTTAACTACGGATCTGCCCTTCTTAATCCCTTCAGTTTTTCTACCTATACCCCCTACCCTTTTCCCCTCTGGCAACCTTCAAATTGTTCTCTGTATCTATGAACCTGTTTCCATTTGCTTGTTCATTTATTTTGTTTTTTAGATTTCACATTTAAGTGAAATCATATGACATTTGTCTTTCTCTGTCTCACTCACTTCACTCAGAACAATATGCTTTAGGCCCATCCATGGTGTTGCAGGTGGAGAGATTTCATTCATTCTTTTTTATTTTTTTTTAAATGACTAAGCTATATTCCATTGTACATATGCAGCACATCATCTTTATTCATCTATTGATGGACACTTAGGTTGCTTCCATATGTTGGCTCTTGTAAATAATACTGCAATGAACATATGTCTGTATATCTTTACAATTTAGTGTTTCGGGTTACTTTGGTTACATATCCAGATGTGGAATTGCTGGGTTCTTCTTGGTCCCTTGTTTATAGCCTTTGTTTTAAAGTCTATTTTGTCTTTTATAAGTATTGCTTTCCAAGTTAATTTGTTTTGTTTGGGAATATATTTTCTATCCCTTTACTTTCAGTGTGTGTGTCTTTTCATCTGAGGTGAGTCTCTTGTAGATAGCATATGTTTGGGTCTTGTTATCTCTTCAGCCACTGTGTATCATTTGATTGGAACATTTAATCCCAGCTATAATTGCATTTATAGTAGTTGTTGATAAGTATGTATTTATTGCCATTTTATTATTCATAATTCTATCTTTTTTTCTTCCTAGAGAAGATCCTTTAACACTTCTTGTAATACTGGTTTGGTGATGATAAACTCCTTTAGCTTTTTCTTGTTTTGGAAGCTCTTTATCTATCCTTTGATCCTAAGTGATAGCCTCACTGGGTAGAGTAGTCTTAGTTTCATGTCCTTATTTTTCATCACTTTAAATACTTCTTGCCAGTCCCTTCTGGCCTGAAGTGTTTCTGTTGAGAAATCAGTTGGCATTCTTATGGGAACTCCCTTGCAGGTAACAGCTTCTTTTCTCTTGCTGATTTTAAGATTCTACCCTTGTCTTTAACCTTTGGCATTTTAATTATGATGTGTGTTGGGGTGGGCCTTGTTGGGTTTATCTTGACTGGGACTCTGTGCTTCCTGGGATTGTATGTCTGTTTCCTTCACCAGGTTAGGGAAGTTTTCCATCATTTTTTTTCCCATGTAGGTTTTCCATTCCTTGCTGTCTCTCTTCTGGTACCCACATGATGTGAATGTCTGTGTGTTTGAAGTTGTGCCAGGAGGCTCCTTAAATTATCCTCATTGTTTTTGGTTTATTTTTTTTTCTTTTTGCTGTTCTGTTTGGATGTCTTCTGCTTTCCTATATTCTAAATTACTGATTTGTGTCTGCTTCATCTACTCTACTGTTGATTCCCTGTAATGTGTTCTTCGTTTCAGTTAATGTGTTCTTCATTTCTGACTGGTTCTTTTCTATATTTTCTGTCTCCATTTTTATGTTTCTGTAACTTTGTTGAAGTTCTAACAAGTTCATTTATTTACTCTTCCCCTAAGTTTATTGAGTATCCTTATAACAAGTGTTTTGAACTCTGCATCTGAGAGATGGTATAGTTCTGTTTTTGGAGTTTTGTTCTGTTCTTTCACTTGGGACATCTTTGTTTCCTCTTTTTGGCTGCCTCTCTATGCTTGTTTCTGTGTATTGTGTAGAGCTGTTATATCTTCTGGGCTTGGTAAAGTGGTCTTATACATAGTAGGTGTCCTGTGTAGCCCAGTGGTGTGGCCTCCCCTGTCACCCAAGTTGGGTGTTCTGGTGCATCCTATCACCCCAACCCTCTGTGGGTAGGCTGTGCACACAGTCATGTTATAGTTGAGCCTTGATCGCTGTTGGGCACCTCAGTAGGAGGGATTGACTGCCCCCAGCCATTTGGCTATGAGGACCAGCCATGACTATGTCGGATTGGCTGCTGTGTAGAGGCCAACCCCACATATGGGACTTGAGAACTCTGGTGCCTGATAGTCTGCCCCTTGAGTGTATCACTGGTGGAGGTGGTTGGGTGGTACTCAGAGTTGTCTGATGCTATCTACCAAGTGCTTTGGCTCTGGGACCTCCCAGGAATTTCAGGCCAAGGTCAGCCACCACCTGTGCTCTGTGCTGGGCCACCAGGCATTAGCTATATAGTGATCCACAGATGGCTGGCCTTGGAGTTCCCAGGAGAGTTTATAGATGTTTGATGCCTTAACATAAGCTTGTTAAAATATTTGGAAATTGGAAATAATTTAAAGGAAAATCTAACCCTTCCATTTCATATTTCATTCAGTTAAACATGTTAATTGGAATAAAGCAATAAATATGACACTAGCATTTCTTTATTTAGAATAATGGGAAATACTTCATCATATTTAGTAGTTTGTTTTGAGGTTTTTACTTTTACTTTGAGGTTTTATTAGGAAACATGATTTTTTTTCCATTTGTCTTTTCAGCATTGATACATTGTTGATAAACTTTATACTGAAATGTCCTTGTTTTCCTAGATAAGTCTTCATTCATACTATGGACATTTCTGGATTCTGTTGACTGATAATTTAGTTTGAATTTTTACATCTAGCCCTGGCTGGTGTGACTCAGTGGGTTGAGCGCTGCCTTCAACTGCAAGGTCACTCAGTCGATTCCCAGCCAGGGCATGTGCCTGGGTTGTGGGCCAGGTCCCCAGTTGGGGGTGTGCAGAAGGCAGCCAGTTGATGTTTCTCTTGCATATTGATGTTTCTGTCCCTCTCTGTCTCTATCCCTTCCTGTCTCTTTAAAGATAGAAGCAAAGTCTTTAAAAAGAATTTTCACACCTGTTTTTATAGATGATATGCCCCCCTTTTTTTTATTTTTTAAAAATCAGGATTTGGTATTAGAGTTGTACTGGTTTATAAAATGAAGGAGCTTTTCATCTTTTTCAATTGTCTTGACTAGCCTAAATCTGTTCTTTAAAGGTTGTATTTCAATATGATCCTGTTCATTTCCATACCATTCCAACCTCTTTGAGTTTTATATTTCTTAATATAGTTTTGAGAATGTATCTGGAAAACCCAGTTACTTCTTAAGTTAGTTGCACATAGTATTCTTTCAAACTCTTCATTATCTGTGTTTAAGTTCCTTTCTCATTTTTAAACTTGTGTATTTTGGTATATTTTTGTTGTCTGTCTTTTTCTAAGGGATATACTCTTTTATTGTTCGAGGGATTGCTTTACTTTTTACATTCCTTTTGACTTTTCTTTTGGTTTATTTTGTTAGTTTCTTAAGATGAATATTAACTTTCCTTATTTTTAATGTTATTTTTTAATAAAGGTGTACTCTTAGAGTAAGTTTTACTGTGTCTCATAGGTTGTGGTGTGGTGTGTTTCTTTTTTATTGTTTTTATGTAGTTTGAATTTTCAGTTTGAACACTTGAAATCTTTGACTTAGGAATGGTCTTCTCAATTTCCAGGCCTTTTTTTTGTTTGTT